GGACAAGGACAGCAAGGAACTGATGCTGCGCAAGCTGGCCAAGCGCTACAAGGACTACTACACGGGCCTCCAGGCTCAGACCGGCGGCAACGATACCGTTGCCGAGCTGGAGAAGGTTCGCTCCGAGCTGGACGAGCTGAACAATCTGCTGCGCAACACCAAAGAGCAGCACGAGCAGCTGCAGAAGGAGCATGATGAGCTCAAGTCGCGCTCAAGTGTAGAGCAGGAGAGCGGCGAGTCCAAGCAGAAGATCGAAAAGCTGCTGCAGGAGCTGACCGTGACCAAGACCGAGCTGGCCAACCAGGAGACAACGCTCGCCGGCACGAAGACCAGCTACGACGAAACCGTGCTGCGTCTCGAAAAGGAGCTGCAGGAGCACATTACCAGCCACAAGGACATTAATGCGCGTCTTATGCGCGAAAACGAATCACTGCACATGCGAATCAATCAGCTGCAGCGCCAACTGGGCTCCCAGCAGTCCACCAAGCCCTCAACCAGCTCGGTGGGCATGGCCGAGAAGGGCAACATATCGGAGTCCTCGCCGCGCACAGCCAACGTTAAGCCCATGTCCGGCTCAGCCACAGTGCAGCAATCGGCCACGGTGACGCCCTGGCGCGGCGGCGAGACGCCTCTGGCCAGCATCCGGCCCATTTCCGTGCAGAACAGTCGCACAGCTGCCATACTGCCCACCAGCCAGCAGCCAGGCGCCTCCACATCAACCTCCACATCGACGTCCACCTCATCATCGGCTGCCGCTGCCTCGGGTAGCAGCAGCAGCAGCAGCAGTAGCTCCTCCTCCTCTTCCTCTGCTGTGGGCAACACGGCCCTGGTGCCGCCACAGCAGCAGGTGCATACCACGGGCAGCGCGACGCTGGAGTCCATGGCCTCCTCATCGCCCACATCATCACACACAGACTATATGCCCTCGACCAGTTCGGCAGCTGTGGCCGTTGCTGCAATTCCGCCCATGGGCGCCACAGCAGCGGCGGAGAGCTCCCAGGAGGCGGAGAGTGTGCAGCATCCGCAACAGAATGATGCACAGGTCTTTGTCGGCGGTGCACAGCAGCAGGTGGTGGCGCTGGTGTCGCCGCGTGTGGAGGGCTCGTCGTCGTCCTCGTCGACCAGCACAACCACATCGACATCCACACAGAATCCAACGGTTCCTAGCGTACAGGATGCCAGCAATCAACAGCAGCCCAGCACATCGGGCAGCAGCAGCAGCTCGTCCACGGTGGTCAGCAGTCACAGTCGCCACACGCCGTCCAGCAGCAATGTGACCACCACCCAGGCCGGCTGCTCCAAGCGACCCCGCGATGTCGAGGGCGACTCCTCTACCAATGCGGAGGAGGGCGTGCCCGAGAAGATTGTCAAGCTGGCGAAACGGTTGCGTACGCCCATGCACGGCGGCGAATTGTCTGCCGGGCACATTGGCGACTCCGGCATGGATGTGGACCAGATGCCGACATCTTCGCAACGTGACCAGGAGGATGATATTCAGGTCGTGGACTCCGATGATGAGGAGGAAGATGTGCTGGGGCCCATCGATGGCGGCGATGCCGAGCAGGAAGAGGGCTACGAGGATTCCTACGAGCAGGACAACGAAATGGAGGACAATGAAGGCGCCGATGCACCTGATCAACACAACGAAGTCGATATCGAACAAGTCCAGATACAGGCCCAGGCCGAGAGCCAACTGCTCGAAGATTCGCCAGCCACTGTCTCGACCCAGGAGAATAACCAAAGCCAGGCCATAACCAGTGGCAGCGGCGAATCGAACGGACTCCAATTGCCACAGGCCGAGGTCAACTGGAAGCAGCAGGCGCCATCCACATCAACGGCTGCAGCGCGTCGCACTGAGAGGTGAGCTAGCTACTGACTTAAATTCATCCAAAAGGTTATGGTTATTATTTTACCGTGTGTATCCCCACAGCAGTTCCGTGGAGATTGTCAGTTCGCCGCAGGTGTCCAACTTTAGCGAGCAGCCCACATGCGTGGAAACGGAGGTCGACGGCACAGCTGTTGCGGAGGCTGCTGCGGCAGTGGCGGATGAGAGCGCCGCCGGCACCAGCGTCGATTGCACAGCTACCGTTGCCAGTTCGCCGCAGAAACCAAATGAGGCCGCCGAGCAGAGCAGCAGCAGCAGCAGCAGCCAGGCCACCGAGGCCAAAGACAAACCGGATGAAAGTGAGACAACGGGCGCGGAGAATGCAAGCGAGGCAGAGGAAGCCTTCGCCGAAGAGACAGTCGCCGCTGGCCAGGCGGAGGAGTCTCAGCAGCTGAGCAATGAGAGTGAGTAGAGTGGAGTGGGGGGGTCCACTGCAGCGGCAATATAATAAATAAGCCATTAATCTTTAGCAGATCCCAATGTGGGTACAAGTCAGTCGGTGGAAACGGAAAACCAGGATAACCAGGCCGAAGGGCCCTCCGAGGATAACGAGGGCGCCGATGGCGTCTCGTCAGAGGGCGAAAAACAGGCCGTCGAAGTTGAGGTAAGCTATTCCAAATATATTCATGTGTGTGTACACAAATAACAACTTAATGTGTTCCTTTCCAGGAGGAGGGTCGCGAAGCCGAGGCCACATCCCCTTCGGAGAACACACGCTTTCGCACGCTGCGCAGCACGGTACCCACCCGCCGTGGCGGTCGTTCCCTGATGCGCGGCACCAATTCCAATAACAATAACAGCGGCAACACAAACAGACCGGCACGCATTGTCTGGCAGCGCGACTCACAGCCGGGCAATATGCGCGGCGGGCATCCAGGTAACCAGGATCCAAATATGCCAAGCGGCTCACCCAACTCTAATCGCATGTTTGCAAATCGTTCCCGCGGCCGTCGACCCATGCGTCGTCCTGGACCAAACAATTTCAATGCCGGTGGTGGCGGCGGCGGAGGTAGTTACCCCTGATCGAGCGAAGAGTCTGGCACAGGCTGACTTTAATCCACACTGCTAGTTTATAAGGCTCTAGGCATTTAAATATAATTATATATACATTATTATGAATAAGCCGCGTACTAAAAATACATATTACACATATTAAATGCTCAAGAAGAAAAATCAATACATTAACTTTGTCAAGAGAAATCTATAAACATTTGTAATCTTCTAAAGAATATGTAATCCTGAGCAGTATAAGCATCTAGTGCATCCGTCCGGTTTTATATTAATTTTGAAGAAAATCATTTCCTTTTATTGTTACCAAAGGAACTGTCTGTCGTTCTCACCTGAGAACTTTCAGTTAAGATATTTTAACTCAACTAAGCAATTTACCAGTAACTACTCCCAACTTTTTGGGTCAAGTCCCACCAGCTACTATATCATATATCGAAGGTAGCCGATCTTTTCCCGTTTTACTACATACGTCAATTTGCAAAGGAACTAAAGCGTGTCAGTTTTGTTTTTTTTTTTTCTTGTTTATTTAGTTTTGTAAAACCCTAACTCTGGAAAATGATAGATGTATCGTCATCTAAGATCTTGGGCGCTCCTTCTTTTCCTTGTAAAGTGCCAACAGGGAGACGTTGGCGACTTTGACGACCTTGAAACGGACACCGGGAATATCACCGACGGCATGACCCTTACGACCGAAACCGGCAACCAAAACCTCGTCGTTCTCCTCAATGTAGTTCAAGCTACCGTCACGGGGCACGAATGCGGTAATCTTCTTGCCGTTCTTGATGAGCTGCACTCGCACGCACTTGCGGATGGCAGAGTTGGGCTGTTTGGCTTCAACGCCACTGCAAGAGCAATTAAGAAAGAGTTTCGATTAGTCTCTGCCGTGGACTCATATAAAGCTTTGTGTCTAAAATGGATTTTTGTTGTTGCTACAGCCGATAACTCACAGTATAATCCTGTGATTTGATTTTCAAAATAAACAAAACACAAAAGTATACTGCGAGACATCGAATGCGTTGGCTACAAATTAAAATAACAATAAATAAATAAAGCAACTACTTACACCTTCTCAAGCACAATACCCTTGGCGTGGGATGCACCACCGAAGGGATTGGCCTTCCATCTGGTGCCCAAATGAGCCTTCTTGTAGTCCTTGTCGGCCCAACGCTGGTCCCGACGGTGGTTCACATGCTTTCTGGCAGTGCGCAGACCTCTAGGCTTGCCTGTTGATTACAACAATACATGTTTTAATTAGTTTAACTATATTTCATTAAATTCAAAAACAACAAACACAATGTAAACAAATGGCCGTTGCAGCGGCGGCACTTTTAGGTTAGTTTGAATACGTCACTGTGAATTGCGCGTTGTGTGCAAAAATTTTCACAAATAACACTTGCAATAATTGTGCTACATGTTAATGTTCATGTTAAACATACGTTTGACATACAATATTGCACGATTCTTTTGGTATTAATAGATTTTGGGCAACTAACAAATTGCAGCCGAAGTTTTGCAAGTTTTGAGTGAGGGCGAGGTTTAAAACATAAAAAAGCGCCGGTGCTTTTAAATTCACTTACACTTGCCATTGCAGAACTATTTTAATTCGATTTGCACTTTGTTTAACGACGCAATTTGCGTATTTCTCACAAAATACACTCTTTTTCAACGACTCACCCATATTTTTCCAACTATCTCAGGCAATGGCGGAAATAAAAGAAAGAGGAAGAGCCTTTTCCTTCTTCTTCTTTGCAAATGTTGTAGGGCTGATAATATGCTATCGATATATCGAAACGCCAACATTTGTGGTACGATAGTTTTCGGAACTGCCAATTTACGTGAACAACTCTGTGCCAAAGTGCTGCCCATCAAACTACGACATGAACGTAACTGTTATTCGAACATTAGCTACCCTACAAATGTTTGACACATTTTGTTACTAGAATTTCTATTTAGATTACTTGCACAATAAGTGTCTGCTTAAGAATGTAAATTCCTTAATTTATGCAATGTGCAGTAGAGCACATCATTGCCTGATGCATATGCCATGGTATTTTCTTTGTAGCGCAGTATTCATAAACAAAAAAGGTATTTCACATCGCCTCCATCACTAAACAAACGCACAGTTCCTTGGCAAACAGCATTTCCTCCAGTCATACGTGTAGAGTTAACAAAAAAAAAAAAAAAACAATTGTTTTTCTAGTGCCATCAATTGGTTATTATTAATATAATGAGTTCTATTCGCAAGAAACTGGTAATTGTAGGCGATGGGGCATGTGGCAAGACCTGCCTGTTGACTGTCTTCTGCAAAGACAATTTCCCCTTGGATTATGTGCCGACAGTATTCGAAACATATGTTGCGGATGTGGAAGTTGAAGGATCTCAGGTTTGCACAACTATTTACGTATTTGCCAACAATTGCGCCTTTGTTTCTGTGCATGAGCAAAGCTGCAAATATGCACTAACAATTGCACGCACTTATTTATTTATATGTATTTATATGGTTGTGTTGCATGTGTGTATACCTTGCGATATTTAGTACAGATCTTATTTTAGTACTCGCACTATGTGCCTGCCCCAGGCTGGGCCCCCATTTGGCGCATGAATCACGTCGAGGTTGTTCGCATTCGCTGTTGATTTCTGGAGCAGCAGCTCGCTGCTCAAGTGCTTTTTAAATAATTGTTGCTTTTAATGGGGCAACATACATATATGTATATACACATATGTAGTACGATCGATTTGCCTATAATTTAATCGATTTCTGTTCGCTTCAAGGTGGAACTGGCGCTGTGGGACACGGCCGGGCAGGAGGATTACGATCGCTTGCGGCTTCTAAGCTATCCTGATACGGATGTGATTGTCATGTGCTTCTCGATTGATCTGCCGGATTCGCTGGAAAACATACAGGACAAATGGATACCCGAAGTGACACACTTCTGTCCGAATGTGCCCATCATTTTGGTGGGCAACAAACGCGACTTGCGCCATGATCCCGACACCATAAAGGCAAGTGCTTCATTCCAGGCTTACATTTACATTGAGCTACAAAGCTATTCTTTTTTTTTTTTGTCATTTTTCAATTTTTAGGAACTATCCATGCAAAAGCAGCACACCGTCACGGCCGAGGAGGGGCTTACCATGGCCGAAATAGTCAACGCATTTGCCTATCTCGAATGCTCGGCCAAAATGCAGGAGGGTGTGCGCGAGGTGTTCGAAACGGCGACCAGAGCCTCTTTGCAGGTGCACAAGAAGAAGAAGCGAGCGAGATGTTTGCAATTATCGTGCAGGCTACTTTAAATTATAATATTATGATTATTCTTGAAATTTTCACGTTTATCGCATGGTTTTAACAAAAACAAAAATAATGCTGCTTGCGTTCACTTCCGCCTTCCATTTATATTTTGATATTATCAATTTAACAAAAAAAAAAAAAAACAATTTCCGCTTAAATTCAGATTGTTCAATGGAAAAGTACTCAATCAAATTCGATTGGTTTCTTTAATGGTTTTTCATATTATTCGAGGAATATATCTAGTTGGATAGTTGTCTGGTATTTCCGAAGCTATTTTCGAGGGTATTTTCTGTCTGCCACAGCTGAAGGCAAATTAATATTCTTATCTAATTTAATATTAGAACAATTTTTGGGCATTTGTCATTGCAGTTGTACTTTTTCTGGCTTGGCCCTGCGGCTTATCAATCATAACTCAAAATTACCGAAAGCATATTCAACAAATTGATAGGCTTTCAGATTTGGCTCTGCACGTCACGTGCCAGACACGATATGGCATTAAAATGCCCATATATATGATAAGTTCACAGTCGAATGCATAATTATAACGCAGAAATTTCGAGAATTGCCCAAAACCAAATTAAAAGTATGCCATGCGATAAGCATAATCCCCCCCTCCCCACTTCAAACAAAAAAAAAACAAATAGAAAGAACTCTTATTTGAAGTTCATAGAACGCTTAATGAATTCCAATTCGAATTCCGAATTCTCGTGATTTGCGTTTTTGCAGATCTATTTTATGCCCAATCATGCCAGCCCACTGTTAATTTGGCTTGGAGTATTTCATAATTTCTGGTAATTATTTCAAATTATTACGCCCAAAAAGGAGTGTCTGTGTGTGTATCAGAAAAAAAGATAAGTTTTAGCCCGAAAACGTGAATGGATCTCATTCAAAATATCTTGTCAGTGGAAAAAGCCAGAGCACACACACACACACACACACACACACACTGAATATACCATAATTACGAATACAAATATAAACACAAGCGGGCAAACAGGCAAACACGCCTCGTATTCAATATGAAGAAAAAAACTTCTTATTTTCTGTGAAACGAAACTTAAAAATAAAAGAAACAAAATGAGCCATCGACAAAGTCAAAGAAGAGCATCGAAATTTTTAGAGTTCTGGAAGAAGAAACACAAACAACAACAACTTGGCTGATTTCGGTATCGAAATCGCATTGCGTATACGTACAATGTGTGTGTGCGCTTGTTGTTGTTGTTGCTGTTTTTTTTTTTTTTTTTGGCAGGCCATTTTGTATGGCGAGCACAAAGACGATAGCGAGGGTGAGGGCGACAACAAGAGTGGCCGTATGTCAAAATAGAGAGAGAGATGTGTGTGTGTGTGGCGTGAGTGAGTGAGAGAGTGAGCGTGTGTGAGCTTACACTCTCAGCAATTTAGCGTGAGCAAGTTCGTACCCTACGCACAGGCCAACACACTCACATACACACTGATGCAGTTACACTCACACATGCGCAGCGTCTTAGACATGGGCAGCACGCCATGTTTTTATAGTTACGCCGGTTGTTGTTGTAACTGTTTTAATGTTGGCTGACGCTGGCGCTATTGTTGTTGTTGTTGTTGTAGTTGTTGTGTCATTTTCATTCACGACGCCGCATGAACGATAACGTAGCGGATAGAGCGAGTCAAGTGGGTGGACGGTGCGAGGCGAGGCGCAGCGCGGCGGTTCTGTGTTGTCTGATAATGTGCGTTTACAAGAACGCGCGAACAAGCACGAACAACAACAACAGCAACAACAACAACAATGTAAAAGCAAATACAAACACTCGCACAAGCAAACATCAAATACAAATACACGCCTCGGCCTGAGCGCATGTGTGTGAGTTCTCGTGTGAAGGTGCCTTCGTATCGCGAAGCAGCCTGCTGCGTACTGTTTTTGTGCTGCTTGTGCGGACGGAGTGTTGTTGGTGCTGCTGCTGCTGCTGCTGTCGTGCTGCTGCTGCTGCTGCTGCTGCTGCTTTCTGCTTTGTGGTTTATACTGCCAACACATTTCCATTTCCCTTTAGTTATCTTTAGTCAGTCGCTCGGATCGGTCGGTAAGCGCGCGATCAATACGCAAAAAAAAAAAGGCCAAAGCGCCGCTGAGAACAGAATATCAAAACAAGAGCTTAAAAACACAAAAACAGAATAACAAAAATAATAGAATAGAATTGAATAAATATATATGTATACATAAATAGGTATATGTATATACATACACGAATCACAACGAATTTATTGAAACGCGTGCCTTTCGCATTCGGAGGCAGGTCGCACATTTCATATGCCACACATATGCAGTATAATATACATATAGGCACACACACACAACCACACACACACACTCATAAGAGCACACGGGGATCGTACGAACAGCTGCTAAACCGCTACAGATAATCAGATACAGATACATATACTAGAAGTATTTATAAGCGCGTTCGCTCTCCTCTTCTTCGTCTTGCGTACGGTTCAGTTCAGTTTCTAAATTGAGGCGCTTTTTACAGTTAACTTTCGCTTTTTTTGCTGTGTGCTGCGTTCACATTTGCTTTCGCTTTCTCGCATAAGAAATTCTTTGCACTGCCCACGATCGGGCGCCAGAAATAGCCCAAAAAACTGAAAAGCCAGCGGGCCGGGTTCCAATCTAAACGAAACCGTTTTGTTTTCAAAATTCAAATACTCAACGCAACAAATTGAAAGCTGCAACAGACGCCGCAACGCGCCAAACACAACAGCAGCAGCAGCAGCAACAACAACAACAACAACAACAACATCGTCAACATCAAAAGGTAAGCACAAGAGGGCCAACACGCACACTCACACACACACACACACACACACACACACACACACACACACACACAGTCGCACATGCGGCCAGCTAAATATACAGATACAGATGAATGGCTAAAAAGACTTGGCATTATGCCTGTGTCACATGACCGCGCCCCGTCGCACAGCCCAGCCCCTGGCGCGGCCAGAAACGAGTTTTTTGGCTAAAAAAGTAGTAGAAGAAGAAGAAGAAATAAACACACGTCGCGCCGTCTGCCAACAAACTCCAATTGAGAGACGCGGCGCACACCGGCCGGGACCTTAGTCACAATTTTAATGTTCTAACTTAAAAAAAGATACAACAAATATATATATACATATATTATGTGCCCGCCTGCGTCTTTTGGCCTTTTGCCTGAAGACTCATCATGTTGGCAATACCAGGAATCGGGAACCAGAAACACGTTAACACGTAAACGGCTTTCGAGTGCCTTTTATGGGCGTATTTCGCTGACGTTGTTACCGATGCTGTTTTTTTTTTTCTGTTTTCTGTATTCTGTTTTCCCGTCCCATTATTTCTTTCCTGAACTTGAACAACAACGGAAGAAAATCAGCTTAAGAATCGATCGATAATAAGCCTGCACTTAAAAGACGAACCGAGATACTTTTGCGTAGCTTTGCCAGATAGTTATGCAAATGTATCTGCAAGAACCGATTCGAGCAATCTGCATTTATCTTAATTGCCGCCGCAATTACCAGGCAAATTAAACCAAAAAAGAAGAAAAGAAAAACTGGGGAAAACCCACAAAATTGGACAAAAATAAACATAAATGAAATAAAATAGTGCGACACACCCTTTCGACCTGCTTTTTTTAACTCTTTATCTGCTGACTCACCCATCGAAGGCCCATCAATGCGGCGCAAACTGGAAAAAGAAACTAAATATGTTGGCATTTGTTCAAGGCCTTTTGCTCTGGCTTTGATCTCTCGCGAAAACTTCTTGGCCTTTTGTTTTTTTTTCTTTTGCCGCCTAAAAAATAAAGTCAGCTGCAGCTTGATCCGTTATTGATAACTCGATTTGCATAAATGGGTTGCAGAAAGAAAAAAATAGCAAAAACAATTAACTATATTAATCATTTTTCATTTTGATCAACTTCAAGTTGATCAATTTGTGAATGAAAATCTAATAGAGGGAAACAAATGTTGAAATACTCAAAGATAAAGAACACATAGATAATGTCGCAGAAAAAAGTGACTGCTCGAAATCATATCAAGATGCGGATGCAATTATAATAAGGAAAATACTTGAAGATAAAGACAAATAAGTAAAAGTGATTCAATTGGCTCGGGTGCGACTAGCAGATACCCTGTAGCCAATGACGAGACTTTAAGATACAGTTTTAAGATAGATTAGGTTATTTATAAGAGCTCAATACATTAGGAGCTGACTCCTTTAAGATTTAGCTCTTAAAGTTCTTTCAATATTCAAGATATGCTCAAATACTCTAAGATCTTAGATCTTAGCTTAGATACATAGGCAAGTTCCTTAGCTATGAGCACAAAAAGAAAACTCGAAATCAAGTAAATCTTTTATGAAATGGATAACTATGCAGCTAGGATACTAATCATTGACAGATGATATCTAATTGGATATATATATATATATATATATATATCAATAGCAACCCGCTTGGCTGACCCCAACATTTGCCCACAATTATGACATGGGCACGAGCTTAAGAAGCATTAGAACTGTCGGAGATGACGTCGGAGCTGTAACTGAGACTGAATCAGATGATTCAGATGATTCAGATATTGACCCGAATTGGCCAAGACGCCTGATTACGTTTAAAGCAGCGGCTGTGTGGCAAATAGTTTGATTAATTAAAAGCAAAAGCAAAGGCTAACCAGGCTAAGCAGCAAATGGAATGGAATATGTTTAAGTAACTAAAGATTGTTAATATATATACTATATCAGTTATTTATGTGCAGTAAACAAGTTTTTCGCATTTACAATGCACCGCAGACAGACCGTCCGTCCGCCCGTCCGTCCGTCCGTCCGTCCTTCAGTCATTCATTGCCAAATAACTGAGGTTTTTTTTTATAATTCTTGCGGTTTTTTTTAGAGGTTTTTTATTGGATATGCCCGAGTGCGTTTGCGTGTGGTACCTTTTATTTTTCTATTTCGAATTGAGCACAAAAAATCTTTCCACAGCTTATGGAAAATAAAAAAAAAAAAAAAAAACAGCGTTAATCAGTTAGAAAATATTTACATATTCGCAGCTGATTATGGCTTATGGAGCTGCTGCCGAGCTGTTGATTGATAGCTTTGATAAGATGGATGACAATTTTAGAATGCAACTGCAGTTAGTCTTGTTTTTGTTTTTAATATTTATATTATATATTTATATTTGCGCATTTGT